GCATTTGGTGCATCTTAGAAGCCTGTGGATACTTCTTTGTCTCCTGTAATTTTTTTTTAATTTTATGTATTTGGTACAGGGTCTTAATACAGCTCAGACTCATAATGATCCTCCTGTTCAAGCCTCCCCAGTGCTGAGATTACAGACATGCGCCACCACGCTTGGTCTTGATGGCTGGCTTAGTGCACCTGGGGTGGGGCTGGCACGGCACACCCAGGGCGGGTCTCCTATAATTCTTAACTGTCTCCTGTCTCACCTAAAGAGCACCTATACATTTGTCCTCATAGCCAACAAGGTAAGAAAATGTATCAGTGAAACTATTAGGTCATCCTCCTCAGCCAAGAAAGATGGTGGTGTGCTTTCCTAGCTGTCTGCTCCTTTTGTAAGTCACTTAAGGGTACTTGACCATGTGAGTTTCAGTTCCATCCTTGAGATGTTAGTGTTCAATTCGAACAAAATGAAGAAGCTGGCTTCTTTTTTGTTCAGTGGGTAGAGTCTCCTGTCTTTGGAGATCAATAGAAACTATATACAGAAGAGAAAGGGGGCCAAGTCATTGTTATTTGAATCCGAGGATCCCTTTTCTTGACTAGCACCAAATCCTTGCTCATTACAACATAGACTGCAGGTCTGCTAAAGTTAGGTCATTTACCTTCACAAAATCCCTTTGTTTTACAGACAAGGACATTTCAGACTAGAAACTTTAAATGCCTGCCAAAGTCAGGGACTAATGAATGACAGGTCTGGAAGCAGTTTTCTGAGGACTATACATCCAAAGCAAGTAGGTTGGGTTAATAATAATAACCTAAATCTAGGAGGTTTGTGCAATCAATAACAATGAAAGTTAATTGCAAAGTTTCACTTAAACTCTTTAAAAAATAGTATGTTTTAGCACACGAAGAATGTCATTCATTTACTAAGACCTGTTCTTAATAACCACGCATTGGGAATATGTTCCACAAAAGCCATAAATCTGAAGTGGCCAAAAGGGTATCCAACTTTCTTTTCTAATTGATTTACTCCTTCTTCTCCCAGACGGCCAGAGGTAAAGCATATACAGTTTATGTAAGGGGACTGTTTATAGACTCTATAAAAGGAGCTAAAAATGATGTCAGGAAATCTCTTTCTCTCCCTCCGCCCCCTTGGTTGTGCTTACTTGAAACCATCTGAAATGCTTGGTTGCCTATCAAGTTTTAGAGTATCTCTAAGGACAAAAATTGCCCAAACCCTTAAACACTCTGTGAAGATGGTTAATCACCACCGCTGTTGGAAGTGATGTCTATGGTCAGCATGATCTTGCCTGTTTCATTTAACTACTGCTGTGTTTCACGAGATCACCATGAGCTGCCCTGTACGTGGACTCTGTCAGCCTGGTTGGTAAGAGCTAGCTGCTTCTTCCCCTTCCATGACACCAACATTGCCCTCCCAGGATATGAGAGCACAAGGGGGATTGATAGGCTCTTTTTCTATGATGCAGATGGGAGAATCAGTAATTAGCTCTTCATTTGATCTTTCATTTCATCAAATGTCTGGGGAAGCTACTTTAATTATAGATGAACTCTTCCTCATATGCTGGGAAGACATTCACAATGCAGATAGTTTGGAAGATTGTTTCTACTGTATGCCAGTGAAACTTGGCCTTGAAGGAAATCGGAGTTTATTCATAACTTTGGGTGGTCTATGCAAAACAAGCCTTACTAAAACATTTAATACAGAACCATTCTAATAGAACTATAAAAACTCTCCTGGTTAAATATTCTGCACTGACAAAAAGAATACGAGATGAAGATGATCTTCTTTTAAATGTTTGAAGTTTAAACGAAGATCAGAAACTGCCTTTTGCTATGAAGAAAACTCCATACTTCCACAACTGAGTTGAAGCAGCTAAAAATAAAAGACACAGTCTCAATAAAACTTTAGAAATACAAGCAAGAAATAATAAATAATAAATGTCAGCTGACAGATAATAGGAGTGGGAAGAATGCTTCCTCAAAAAGGATTTCAAAGACTGTAAATGCCCAGAACTGACTTCTCCACACACAGTAAATCTCAGGGGATGAAAAGGAAACTCCATAAAATTTGTTGACAACAGTTAATGTCTGTGAGAAAAATTGGCTCCGAAGCAAAACAGGCCATCAGTGTAGCATAGGGATGACTCCTGCACAGCCTTGAGGTCATCGCTGGTATCCATACATTGTGTTCAGTAGGAAAACAGTTTTATCAAATAAGTGGATACACATGATATGACAATTTGAAGCTATTCAACAACCCAGTTCTTAATGGTTTTTAAGACTAAGAGCTCAGACAAGTAATCTTGTTAGATTTGAGTAGATTCTATCCTGTCAATTCAATAATCAACTACTATATCAGCCAGGCATTGAACTAGACACTGGGCTTTGGAGGTAAGTGGGCATGTCATTTGGCATCAGGGGCATTCTGAAATGCATTACTCAAAGGACGATAGAAGCTGGCAAGGAGATGGCAAAAGTGGGACGAAATAGCAGGAAAAGTCTCAGATACGTAATCTGCCCTCCCAAGGTTATTGTTCTCTGTTGACACATGACAATGATTATTTGCTCTGTTTTGCTCCCCTCAACATGTGAGTCCCTTGAAGTCATTTCTAGGTATCTCATTCATGCCTACCAAAGTAGCGTGCACACAGCAGAAACCCCACTGGTATTTTGAAGTAAAGAAAAACAAGTTAAACGGACTAACGTTTCAAGGCAAAGATGATTGCCCAGTTGGCCAGAATGCTAGCTAAGGATAGCATGCTTATGCGTTGGATGCTGTATGAGACAGAGACCAACTGGGGTTCTGCAGGGCAGAATGCATCCAGCATACATTCGCAACAACAGCATTGACAATAGCACGTGATCTACAAAACCATTTCCATCCCAAGTCGCACTTGAGAGTTGCTAGATAGATATGACTTTCTCCTTTTAAATCATTAAAACATAATTTAAAAATATTTCCTAAAATTTGATCACTGTAGTGACAGTACAACTGGACTATTTTCGGGACTGGCAATTGGTTTCCATTATACTCATAAATGTCATGGGAACATAGAGAGTGTCATACTGTTACTTAGGATCAAATCCTTTTTTCCATTCTTATTTTTCATCATTGAATACAAATGTTGTAGGCATAGAGGCTCCCGTTTCCATGGTCTGTACATAGAAATCCTGGACTACATCTTGTGGAACATCACAATTTATCCTGGCATGGAACAGAGTACTTGTAGGTTGGGTAATACCCAGTGAACTGGAAGATGAAGAATTGCACACAAAAAAGCAAAAAAAGCCCTTGTGGATATAATAAGTCAGAATAACAGTCATTTAAAAAAATGTATGTGGTACAGGTCCTCACTTTGCAGCTCAGACTCCTAGTGACCCTCCTGTTTTCAGCCTCCCAGCGCTGGGATTCCAGGTGTGCGCCATCACGCCCACTCTCTGTGGCTGGCTCGGTGCGCTCAGGAGCATGGCTGGTGCTACACATTGTGCCAGGAATCAAACCCCAGCTCCTTTTCTTGTCTGAGCAGGCACTTAGTCCACTGAGCTATCTCGCTGGCCCTCATTTTTAAAAATCTATGAATCAGCAGCAGCAAATTGTAGAATAATGACAGCCTATTGTTGGGGGTGTGTTGATATCCCCTGCTCACTTTTTTTAGGGTGCTGCAAAGAAAAAGCAAGTCTGGCACTGGGAAAGCCCCACTCACGAACCCCTTCAAACACTGCCACAGAGAACTGGATGGAACTGCTCACTACCGAAGAATACATGAATTCGATCAAACCTCAGGCCAGAAATACAGAGTGGGGATTTGCCCATACTAACAGTAGAAAGTACTTCTGGGTTCTCTGTTACTGTCTTTTTTTTTTCTTTTTGGCTGAATAAATGGTAAGAACAGAACTGTCTCCTTACAAACTTCCTCCTTCCCATCTTTCCTACTCAGTTGCAGACTGGCAGAATGCCCTTGCTTGAGTCTTACAATAGCACACACACACACACACACACACACACACACACACACACACACACACACACAGACCCAGACATAGACACACACACACTATCTGCCTAGAGAGAGGCTGACTTTGGAGAAGAAGATGAGAGAAACTTCAAGGGCATGAGGCATCCTGGGAGCTGTTTGGGACTAGCAGCTAACAGGTAAGCTGTCTGCACTTGAGTGACATGAACCTTGGAGAATGACTCATGCTCTGATTCCTGGAGTCCTCTGGGGTTCTAAACAGTTACATAGAGAGAGCATCTGGCTTTGAATCTCTGCCTGTCTTGTGGCGCACACTGGTCGTGTCCCTCAGGTACTACTGACTTGTTTGCATTTCCTGTTTGCAGTGGTTGCCATACACAGCTGTCTACTGTTGTTGACTTCCGACTTTCTGACTGTCTGGGAGCAATTTATGAGACAAGTGACTCTGCGCTTGTCAGACATCTCTCCAGATGGAGACACCACTGGAAAGTCCCCCAGAAGAGCTCCTTCAGAGCAAAGCAAGGACAAGAAGAACCAAGGTCAGTTTGCACAGAGGGCATGTTGGCAATGATGTCACAATTCAGGTTTGGAGAAAACCTGTCTGTTTATTTGTGAATCTATCTTAGAGCAAAAGTTACCTCTGTCTGTTCCTGGTGACTTCATGTTGCATGAAGCATCTAGAATGTGCCCTTAATTCTTTCCCCAAGCCTCAGGAGTGGAGAGTCCTTGTCATTCGTGTCTGAGCTATGAGAACCATCCTGGTCTACATGCACGCTCATAGGTCTAGAAAACAAAATCCTCAGTGTCCTGGGTCATGTTGTCCCCTCCACAGGAAGTGAAGGCAAATTTAAAGGAGGAAATTCCACCCTAAATCTGTCCAACCTGCCAAGGCCCAGGTGCAACATGGTGCTGACTCAAAGATGAGGATCTCAGAGTCTGAGGATGGCTCCTGTGACAGAAGAGCCACAGAAGCATGCATTACGGACCCCAGACCATACAGAGGGGGAGGGCTACTTACTGAAGTAAAAGCCCCTGTCTCCACACACAAACTGGAGGGCGTCAACCAGCTCAGCGCCGCACAGTGTCTCTGGTCCCGCTGTGGCCGAGCTGGTGAAGGCGAGCAAGCAGAGGGCCAGGTAGAAGAGATGCGAAGAGGACATAGCACGCATCTTTCCCTGCAGAAGAAGCAGATGAGGGTCAGCTTGCCTCCCTGGCCCCTGCACATTGAGGATACCCCTTAGCCCCCGGGGACCTGTCTTTCTTCAGCAGGACCTGGCACAGAGGGGCAGCAACATGTGTGGGGTTGATAAGGCACATCTTGGCCACAGTCAACCATGGTTGCCCACGTTGGTGCTGGCCTCTCGGTCAGGCCCTCCCCCACCCCTTGCTTTTGGGTTCCCATTACAACTGGGTGAGAGCCAGGCAATGCCACCCAAATGAAAGGTACCACTAGGATGGTAGGATTTCACACTACTCGGAGATCCTGGTAGAGCTTTTGAATGACCAAAGGTTCAGTCATGCCCAGTGCAGATTTGCAGCCAAGTGTATTTTGTTAATTTAAGTGCTCTAAAAACTGGCCATCTATAGGTAGCATATGTATTAATTATTGACCATGATATTAAATTAAGCAGAACAGCATTCCTTGGCTGCTGATTAAGAAAATATTGTGGTCAGAAAAGGACTTGTAAAATAGTACATATCATTAGAGTTTTTTTAGAGAGAGAGAGAGAGAGAGAGAGAGAGAGAGAGAGAGAGATTTCCTATCTGAGTGATAGCAGTTACCACAACCTCAAGTAGAAACACAAAGAGGAAAAGGATGAGGATTTAGGGTGCATCTGGCTCCTGTGCAGGAGGAGGCGGGGCAGGAGGGTGTGATGACACCCCTAACCTAGTGTAGGCTCTGGCCAAGCAGAGCAGAGCAGATCAACAAGAGCAAGGCAGGGTGGATTTGTCTCATCAGCCTTGTAGGACAGGAGAGGCTTCAGAAAGGAGGCTCTCGAACCCAGGGAACACTCCCTGCCTCTGATACTGTGCTCCAGTGAGGCCCGAACAGCCAGGTAGAAATAATATTGGTCAGAAGAAGGATCAACCAGTGCTGGGAGGCTATCGTGGGAGCTGGTGGGCTCAGCCAGTCCCAGTCTGCCTTGGCCCTCTGTGTGGCATCCTGGACATCCCCCCAATCCCAGCAAGGTCTGCTAGGACCTGCAGCTCTTCAGCGAGGTGGGTTGTAGAACTTCTTTATGGCCAGCTCTTCCACGGAAAAGCAGGAAAGATCACAGTCCTATTTTTGGGTTTCTAAGGCTAACTTCAACATTGAGCATTTCTAGTTGCTATGACCTGCCTTGGGGGAGGACGCAGAGGAGAAAGGAGGGCAGGAGAAGGTCAGAGAGACTTGGCCTCTGGGCTCTTCCCATTCCCCTTAGCTCACAGTGCTCAGCATGCCAAAGAGCTATCCAGTAGGGCATCCAGCATGAAGTAAATGCTACTCTGTCTGCCTGCGAAGGCCCCTTCCTTCCAGGCCAAGAGAAAATCAGCACGTGCAGAGAGGCTCTTCCACGCGCAGGGCACTGGGCTTAAAACCTACCAAGTCTTTTTTTTCCCCTTTTTTTTCTTTTTGGTCACAGGCATTCTGACCTCATCTGTTGGAGGGATTTATGTATCACTGTATCCATTTTATAGCAAAAGCTGTCCAGGGACCCCTGGTTGGCACGACTTAGGGAGCCCTGGCCAAGTGGCCGCCCTGCCAAAAGCAGGATTCCTGTGGCTGGCTCAGATCTCCGCCCTCCCCTAAGAAATAGGAAAGTGCTAAGGTGACCATTACATTAAGTTTTTCCATATTGCTGCTTGTGGCGCCAAGATGTGGTTCCTTCAGGGACGGGTCCCGGGGTGAGTAGCTTCACGGCTCAGCTGTGTCCACGCTCAGCGCAGGAAAGAGCCACCGACAGGAGGTGAGCTACGGGGCCCTATTTCAAGGTCACTGGGTGATGCTGGAAGCTATAATTTTACAGAGAGGCTGCTTTTGAACCTTGCAGTAGGGGCAGATCCTGTCAACCCCATTACTTGTAGAAAACCAGACCCAGGCATTTATTTGCTGACCACCCTCCTTGTGTACCATGAACCCTCAGCTAAACAGCTCAGCCATCAGTGGCAAAGTGTGCACCATCATTTTAATTAAAATCTCCATTTTTGTGGCCAGAACTTCACCCCAGCAATTGAAGGGAAACCCCTAAACCCCTGATTCTTGTTAACACAAAGTAAATATTTAGTCAATGCTTGTAAAACAACTGAAGATAAAAAGCACCCTCTACTTGCAAATCATCCTAAATAATGGACATAAAATAGAAGAAGAAGTAAAAGGCCAAGTGAGCATTCATTCCATTTTCTTAGTAGGATCTCTACCTAGAAACGCTCTACCCCCACGAAGCCAAAGCCACTGGGAATGTGAACAACAAGGTGTCACTGAGTTGTCATTTTTGGGAGACAGAGAAGCTAGTAAGGACTTTACCTTCCAGTTTCCAATGGAAGCCTCAACAAAGCAAACCCAACTGGTTTTCTTGGCCTTTCACAAAAGCGCAAACCCAGAATTGACCTTCAGAACAAATTTGCCCACTCTGGCAGTGGGCCAGTTCTAGAATGTATTGGACTCCACTAAACCCTTTTCTCCATCTCTTCCTTTTTTATTGCATTTCCAATGACACTGAAAGCCAAGCACCTGCTTGGTAGATGCCTTCACTTTTTCCATTTTTATGAAATTCGGGGGAACAATCACCCAACTTTAAACTTTAGCGGGCTTAGAACCTCCATAGATATCGGAACTATATTTTTAATAGTTATCTTCGGAATAACACTCTGAAGTCCCACAACATGTATATAAATCTTTTCTAACATCTAAAACCCTTAAGATAGATTTTTCTTGTTCTTTCTTTTTCCGCCAAATTATACTGTCAGAGAAATATCAGCACTTATAGTTCTAGGACAAGATAGAACCTCTAGTGCTTTTTGCTTTCGCTCCGAGAACAGTCCAGCACACCCACAGAGCAGGAGAGAATTTATCACATTATGTTCCCCCGACAGAAACAACAACGAACTTGCTTAGGAGCCAAAAGTTTGAAACAAGTGGCCCCATATGTTCATGATTTCCTTGGCCTTTTATTTTGCCAACCACATGAGAGACGAGTAGAGAGAAAAGAAAGATAATGACAGAGAGGAAAGAAGGAAGAACCGGGGAGAGAAGGGAAAAAGAAAACGCAGAACTCCTCCTCAAACATCATTCACAAATCCACATTTTCCAAAGACTTCTCTTTCTATCTGAAATAAATGGAATATCAATTGATTCCAGATGTCTGGGCTCCAAGCAGTACAACCCAGTGAAATTCGAGGGCAGGAGTTGTAAGAAAATACTCACTGTAGGTGCATTCATATTTGTTTGTTCCAGGTCTTTTACAGCAGGGCTGGGTGGGTGTTATGAGGCTGATGTGAATAGAAAACTGAAGACTTAAAAACATGTGCAGCGTGGTGGGTGGGGTTTGAGGGAGCATCTAGTTACATGTGGTCGCCGAGGCAGGTATGCCGAGAGCCTGAGTAAACTGCCTTTTGTCCATTCAAACAATGAACACATTGCCCAGCTGGGGTCTGATCCCACCCCTCCCCAGCCGGCTCCCCAGTTCCCACTGGGAGCCCGCGGTAGCTGCCCACAAGGGTGGAAGCCAGGCGTTCCCCTCCCGGCTCCACCGTGGGCAGGTACCTGGGGACTCAGACTGCGGCAGTCAGACTGTGGACTTTGCCTCGGAGCAGGACACCTTCCTACCCCCGTAACGTTCGCGAGTCCACAGGCTTGCAGGCACTTCCCACTGCGAGTACAGGGAAAGGTTAGCCCCGCGTTGCTAGCTCAGCACACACAGCAGGGAAAGTTCATTTGGAGACAATTTTCCAAACTCGTAAGCAACGCGGAGATAACATTCCACAGCCTCCTTGATCTCGTGAGCAGGGTGGCAGCTGCCCCAGCTGCCGGACCCACAGCAGAGCCGCTCGCTGGCTTTACTTCTGTCGGAGCAAGGTGGCTGGGGTGAGCCGGCGTCGCAAGGACGGCAGAATCAGCTGTCTGACACGGGATGTCCTCAACTCGCGAGCCACTTACTTGACCAAGACAAGTCCTGGCGGTGAAGTATTTGCGGGCAGCAAATGAACGCTGCCCTGAGTGCTGCGGGGACCTTTTATGAATTGAGCCCTCCCGCAATCGCCTCCGGAGCCAGGGACAGCGGCTTAAAAGTGCTTGCAAATTGAAAAAAAAAAGAGGAAAACAAAAGCCTTGAAGGATATAATTTTGCTGAGGGTGGAAACTTGAACTGGGGCCAGGGATCAGGAACGAGAAATCAGTGCACGGGGCGCAGCCGCCAAATTTACCTAAAGACTTGACAGCCTCGAGTATAAAATCATCAGAGCTTTACGAAAACCCACGTCCAAATTTTGACCAGGAAAGTCTTCAAAAGAAAAAAAACTTGGATAGGCAGGTGCTAGAAAGTTTCTGCCTCCCACCTACAGTATACATTTGTTTAAAGCTCATGCATATGCACGGTCGGCAGGAATTGTCAAGGAGCTCTTTTGCTTTGCAGAAGAGCAAATCAAACTTCACTGTAACTTTGACTTTCTGGGCAGAAGTGCAGAGAGTTCTGAGTTCTTAGCTCGAAAGATCACATTGAAAAGCTTTACTATCATTTACAATGCAACTGTTTGTGGTATACCTTGTAAATAAAATTCTGGCAAGTTACACACACACACACACACACACACACACACACACACACACAAAGCAAGATCTTACAAAGAAAACGTGCACCTGCAAAAGAGAAAAAATCTCCAAGTTCCTATCCCTGCTTGACAACCCTCATCCACAGACAGGATTTAAGAGAGGCTTCCACAGTGACGCCACCGGACCCTGCAGAAGTGCTCAGGGCTTAGCCTAAGTGCCTTACAATAGTTTCTACTCCTACAGCTATCTCTGCAAATGCATCCGTTTCCCGGAGCTATTCTGTCAGATCCCACAGAACCGCACGTTCAGCAATTTAGAAATAAACTAGTCCCGAAACAATGCGAATGCTCAAGTGAATAGCAGTTCTAAGGCAGCACACAGTATCCAGCGCACACAAAATCCCCCAATGACTTCAAAGAGTAAGAAATATTACCTTCAAGAAGTCACAAAAGCAGCACTTAAATAATTGAGTTGGAAGACTGCTGATTTTTCCCATTGCTTCTGAAGTAAAAAGTCTGAAAATGAATTGGTTAGCAGCGACACTGAGGCAAAAAGAAATCCAGAGAGATGGAAGATGTTGAGAGCAATGTCACATTTCAATTTTGAGGACTTATGCCATTGCGCAGGCTCTATCTGCTCTGAATTTAGCAGTGACAGTGAGATTTAGCAAACAGAAGAGGGATTTAGAGAAAATCCTCACATTTATCTACAAAACACAGACACTGTAGACAGGAAACAGCTGGGGGAACATTTGCCTTCTCTCTCTCTCCCTCTTCTGGCAAAGTTATCGAGTAAGGACTTTTTTGGGCATGGTGACAAATAACATCATACCTTTGCATTTTAAAACTGGAGCACAGAAGCATTTTTTTTTCCCCCTTAAAAGAATGTGTGTTAGTGACAGGGTGAACAGACATTAAAATGCTTCTGCTGCCGTAGAAAATAAGGATGTTTGCTGATAACTTTCTACCAGGCATGAAGACACACGTCTGCTCGAACACCTTACCAGTATTAAAGGAGCAGGGACCAGGGGTAGGGGAGCAATTTTATATTTTGGAACCAATGTATTTTTTTTTCTTTTTAGAAAAGGAGAACGGATAAAAAGAACATTCCCAGGGAGTCCTACAATTTTAACCCCGAAATGACTGGCATAAATTGGGTCAGTTAGGTGGGAAGACAGCACGTGGATGACCCCTTGTCCTAGTTGCCAAGCCAGGGTAGTGATCTCATTTCCTGAAACCTACAGACGGGGGCAGCCACACTGCCCTGGCTCACTTTAGGACACCATCTCACGCCTTGCCCCAGCAGTGAGGCACAGGATATGCTGAGCTGTAAAACAAACTGAAAAATGTGATCTTTTTCTTCACTCACCCACTATGCTGCTTGTCACCTTCCCAGCCAGGAAGAGTCCCAAGGGACAAGGGACAGTCTCTTCTGATGCCTGGATATTTTTGCATAACTTGAACCCGTGTGCTTAAGTATGCGTGTGCTTGTGTGTGTGTGTGTGTGTGTGTGTGTGTGTTTTCTTTCCACAATTTTGTTTTTATATTCTAAATAACACCAGCTGGCTAGCAGTACCCTCTCAAGGGTTATGATGTCATCCAAATCCCTGAGCTGGGTGAGTGGCCGGCGGCGGCGTGGTCCAAGCCAGCTGTGCTGCTAGTTATAATGTATATTTGCCTCTGCTGTGGAGAAGCGGGTCCTGATCTTCTGTTGATACTCTGTGTACCTATTTTTCTGTGGTTTGGTGAGGCAGGAGATAGGAAAGTGGACTATGAAATAAGGTTGCAAAAGCCCAGGTCAGACCTAGGGCTTTCCTGGTTGTCTCCTGGGTGGGGCTTCCCAGGGACAGTGCAGGCCTCGTCTCGGGACTCACTTGGGACTCCCGGAGGATTAGATAACACTAATTTGTCCACTGAAAGCCAAGGTCCGTAGGAAACCCTAGTCTGGCTCTTTGTGTTGTCTTGTGGCCAGAGATGTGTTTATAAAGGTGGATGCCCTCAAGGGAAGAGATGTTTGGTTTTGAAAGGGGCTGGTTTTGGCTAACTCTTCTGTATGGTGAGTGGATCATTAGCAGGGTTGATCTTTCAGAAATAAGAAATGGAAATCCGAAGTTGTGTCAGGCAGGACACCCAGCATCATTTTAGCAGCTCCTACTATGTACGAGGCCACACACATCAGTAGAACATACAGAGGAAGGAAGCGGATGCAGAGACAGCCCAGCAAACGTCACTATCACATGGTGGGGTCACGGCTTTTAAAAATATGTTAGGGCACCAAGCGAAGGAGCAACAACTCCTCTGACAAAGCAGGGAAGGAGAGCCTCTTTGAAAATCTGGGCTAGGAGAGGAAGGATTGAAATATGACAGGATTTGGGGGCCACGGATGGGAAGTTTCAGTGGCTAGGATCTGACCCAGACACAAACTACGTCATCAAGAGGTGGCCCTGTGGTGATCAGCAGATGTATGGGGGGGTCCCTGGATTTAAAAATTATCTAAGGAGAGCTGGGAAGACAGCTCAGTATGCACAAGCATCTGCCTGGCATGTGAGTTCCTGAGTTCGATTTCTGGTACTGAAAAAAAAAAATTATCCAAGGCATCCTTTGATAAGCATTCCTCCCACACTTGATTTATGACTCAGTTTACCCAAAATCTTCCCCTCCATAGCTTTTGCAGCGTCAAGCCCTTTATAAGAAAATGAAGTCCAGCCTCCTCCTCCAGACTTTGATGATGGATGGATTATGTGGAACCAGATCTCACCCAGATGAAGAAGAGGCTAGGTGACTGGGGAAGGGGAGTCAGGCATGGCTAGGGTCTGGGGTTGAGTCTGCTGCTCTGTCACCATGTCACCAAGCACCTTCACAGGGGTGCAGGCACCTTGTCTCTCCCCTTCTTCCATTGCAGTCTTAGCATTCGTGACTGTCCCAAGATGTCCTAGAAACTTGCAACTCATCTTTGGACCCTGTTGGTGGGTTTGGAATGCTCTAGGGGCTAATTCCCTTCTCCAGAACCATTCCATCTGAAAGGCCACTTTGGGGACAGAACATACATTCCAGCAGACACTGGCGTCCTGTGATATGGGCACACCAACACTCTTGGTTTTATAACCCCAATTATCCTTAAAGGATAATTGAGTTTTAATTTATGTCCTAGTTTTTGTGTTACAATCAAAGAAAACTGAAATTTCAGTGAGTCTTAATTGTCATCAGCTGCGTTCCACTGGTAGGAGCAATTTCCTGAAGTGATGAACGCGTACTTCAATCTGGAGAATGGTCTGTATTGCTGAGGAGGGGAGCCAGCCGAAGAGCAGGGCAATAATTCCTGGAGAAATATCCATTTTCTTTGCAAATTCCAGGAGTTATAGGGAAACGAAGGGGCAATAAATGTGCCACATTGTTCCTTTTTTAATGACCTTTAGGAAAGACCCTAAGGCACCTATTACCAGAGTCCAAGGTGGTAGTAAATCTATTGCCCAGGCAAAGCGCAGGTCAGGAAATCCCATCGGAGAGAAATATTCAGTGTCATTTCTAAAATTACTGAATGATTATGCAGTCTCCTGTCTGGAAAAAAATCTGACAGTTACAGAGAGGAACCGTGTGCCACCAAAATAGCTGCCTGCGAGGATGCGCTCACCAGGCGACACCCACCTGGAGGCTGGGCGGGCGGGCCCCAGTGGCCTCACCTTCTGCACCGGTAATGCCTGCGCCGTATAAATAACTCTGCCCTCCAGCCTTCTACCTGCAGTTTCAGAAGGCTTCTGACACCTTCCTGTAAAAAGAAAACAATGAAAGAGCAGGCTGGTTGAGGTTCACAGAAAGGGGGTGGCGAGGCCCATTCTCCCCTTCTTTGGCTAAGGCCTTCTTTCATCCCTTGAGGAGAGCCTTCTCTGAATGCTACTTTATATCTCCATGTGCTGGGACATGTCCCTGTGCATTCATTGGGTGTAGCTGCGATTTATTTCCGTGCTGTCTTTGCTGACCTCCTTGGAAAATTTGGAAAGGAGCTGGGAGGGAAAGAGTCCTTGGAGTCAAAGGGTGGGGCCTACGGCTCTGGGGCAGCCACTAGGCAAAGAGCTTGGGGACACCCTTGGGTGTCTGTCCTGGATCTTGGCGCGTGCGAGGGTGCTCAGCGGTGGAGTCCCCAGTGTGGGAGGTGAGCAGCTCGAGGAGGTCGAAAGCAAAGGTTGGATCCCCAAACTCAACGTGCTAAGGGACGAGAGGGCGAATATCACCTCCAAACGTCATCCCAGGAGGACACTGTGACTCCCCAGAAAGCCTTTCTCTAGCTGGGAAGGACCCCTGTAGGCAAGCACTTTGGCCCAGCTAGGGAGGGAAGCGGGTGCAGAGCGGAGACCTCAGCTCACGAAAGAAATCAGTGCTTGCATTTCAACATCAAGCTTGGATCTTATTTCTTTCCAAATGTC